CAATTCAAAAAATCGTAATGACAATGAAATGTTCCCTTAGATGGGTGAATGTCTCTCCGCTTAGGATGGTGACATTTATGGACAGTGTTGGAAGCAACGCAGTCCAGAGGGGAAAAGGCACGGTACTAAAGTTGAACCTAGCAATTTAAGTTCTGGGCTAAAAGTGTGTTGCTACTTCCCTTGATACTTGAAATACGAGACTGAAGGTAAGAGGATGAACGAGTCACTTGCAGCATCTTCCTTTCACATCTTCTCTTCCTCACATAACTATCTTTCTAGAACAATGCCACTAATGTTCCTTTAACAAAAATGCCATGGCCCGCTGCTTCCCTAAGGGTTTGCTACCAAACCATAACCAAACTCACTGTCACCGAGTCGACACTGGCTCAGAGCAACCCCGTAGGACAGGGTAGAATCACCGCCTGTGTATTTCCAAGACTATAACTCTTTATGACAGTGGAAAGCCTCATCTTTCTCCCGAGGTGAGGCTGGTGACTTAGAACTGCAGGCCTTGCCATTAGCAGCCTAACACATAATCACTCTGCTGCAAGCACTCCTGGAGGTTTCCGACAGAAGCCCGCAACTCAATCAAGGCTGTTGCCAAATCTCTATGATATCTTTATGGCAAACACCCTGCTTCCTTTTAATATGCATGCTTTTCTATTTGACTTCAAGTCCTTCAAAATGAAATGCAAAATCTGCTATTTTCATGGGCTCAGCCGCTATTCTATATGTTGTTGCTATAAGGTTGTAATAAGGTGCCATGAAGTTAGTTCAGACGAACAGTGACCATACATACAACAGAGTAAAAATTCTAGTCTGAAGTTTTGTGACTTGCTTTGAAAATACTTAGCCTGGTATCATACTCCTATTCCTCGGGTATTGGAAAGTTTCCGAAAAACTAAACCATAGCCAACAGTAACAGTCAGGAGCCCTGGCGGTGCAGTGGGCTGCCCAGTGAACTGCCAAGGACAAGGCCAGGCATCCCACTAGCCACTCTGGGGGAGAGGATGAAGCGTTCTGCTCCGGTAAAGATTGAAAACGTCACAAACTCAAAGGGACAGTTCTACTCTGTCCGACAGGATCACGCTGAGTCCACATGGACTCAATGGAGAACACAAGTCGTCATTGGTCAATTCACTCCTTTACTGAATGAGCTTTACAGAGCACGTGCGCACACACGTGTGTGTGTGTGTGTGTGTGTGTGTGTGTGTGTGTGTGTGTGTGTGTAAAATACCTAGAATGTAGCCCACAGTTTTGATGTTCCTAAAACTGGCAGCATTTGTGATTTAAGTAAGAGGGGGATACTTGGCATGTAAACCGGGAGAAAAGGAGCTCATATGCTCAAGGTAGAGAAAGAGCGAATAAAGAGTTCCGGATGGGCTTTAGTTCATTTCGTTTTTGAATGAAACGTAAGAAGGGAGCTTGAATGCAGAAAAGGTAAGACATGACTGCCTTTGCTAGGCATCCGCCTATCTCCATTTCTAGGCATCAAAAGGTATTCATTCACAGGAGGGGTTGGGAGGGGGAGCGAACACATGCTAATTGTCGCTGATGACCATAATCAAGGACAAACATGCACCCTGCTCTAACAAACAGCCATTGCCAGTCGGCACGGCAGGAGTCTTACTTAGAAAAACTTCATTATACACCAGGTCACCAGAACTCGTACAAGGTTCTCAAACTTCCCTACTACTCATTTCAGAAGTTTAAATTGCTATTTTCCTGAATTGTATTTGACATGCGAGGTGTTCGGCATCCTGTTTCTTTTCTTTACAGTATCTAGGTTCTATTTTTCATTATTTCTTAGATTCTTTTAACTTTGACCATCTAAATTAGAAAGCAACATGGACATGCTATTTGTCACTTGCATAAAAGTAAGTATTCATGAAACGTTTTAATGTTAAATCTCCAAAAAGGATTTAGTATGCCAAAATATGATTGGAATTTCATAATAGGAAAGCTATTTTTGGAAATTTCAACTTAAAGACCATGAATATGTATTCTTTATTCCCACTAGGTGTATATGAATTTCTTCCTGCGATCCCCTTAATTTCTTCCTTTCTGCTAGGCTGCAGTGCTTAATTTGCCCTTGCAGCCACCATAGAGTTGAAGCTACTGTGGTTATAAGCTGTCAGCACATTTTAAAATCATCTTTCCCCACTAGCCAGCTTCACTTACCCACCTCAGACAATTCATCCTCTAGCATCTCACAGAGCATCTATTATAGAACTGTATCAACATTTACCACCGTCTTCTAATTGTGTGATTTCTCAGCCATCACTCAATGCAGATTGCAAGTCCCTGGGGAAAGACCCTGTCCTGCCCTGATCTTTTTCATTTCCTAGCACCTAACAAAGAATTTACAATTCAGTTAAGTGCAGGTGGAACAGAAAGTTAAAAGGTGGGCTATTAACCACAAGGTCAGTAGTTCGAGCCCAATGGCAACTCCAGAGAAGAAGCATATATTTCTGTTCTTGTACTATAGCCTCAGACATCCATGGGGGCAGTCTTACTCTGTCCTGTAGGCTCACTCTGAGTCTGAATTGGATTCCGTGGCGGTGAGATTTGAGAAGTACTCTGTGAAGGTTGTTTTTGAAAAAGCTGTTGTAAAAATAATAATAAATAATAATAATAATAATTAGTAAATAGAAAACCTACTTCTAAGCATTTCCCTGAGAACAAGGGAGACAGATGTCTCTGGGCCCCTGAAAACTGGCATCTATAATTCTAAGCAGCCCACCTGCTTTCTCTCTTCCACCAGCACCCTAAATCTGTAGAAAAATTATTAACTGCACTCGAGAGAGGGATGAAGCACAGGTGTTGCGACAAAACAAAATAATTCTTTTCTGTCTCCCCACATGAAACTTGATGACATTTAACAGGGGTTAATAAAGAATCTACTTTTCTTAAATCGCTCAAGTCCATATATGGGAAAGGTGCACAGGGTTCTCCTTATTAAGCATCAAATTAATGAGGATTGAAAAATTCCTCAGGTACTAAAAAGCAGAGCAACATCCAATCTCTTGAGGGAGTGTTACAGGTCACATCGAAAGGCCATCCCTGCCAGGCACCAACTGTGCTCGAATGACTTACTGCTGTCTATTCTGCGACTCTCACTAGCTGATGTCAGCTGATGTCTTTTGCTAGCATATTCTTCTTTGGCATGAAGTTTTTGGTCTGTTTATTTTAGCGCCATGTCCTTTCCACACGGAGGTAGGAATGTGTACAATAAAGAGCAGAAAATATACCGTGTTTGGGAGTAAAACGATGGTTCAATGCAGAGGCATCTACAAAGTGATATCGTTTGGGGTAAGCGGTGTTCCCCAGAAGTTTAGAGGCACATTGACAGTGTGAGTCTGTGGCTCATGTGTAGTACATGGGCTTATCTTTTCACTCAGGGAAGAAATGAAAACCTGTAGCTTATGAGAGCACTTATACTTGGATTTCTATCCAACACCAATACCTGTGGTTTCCCAGTGCTAGCCATAAGTTGTTATGATCCACACTGTCAAGTATTTTTGCATAACCAATAAAACATGCACAAATTTGAAAAAGGAAAGATTTCTAATAGAAGCAAGAGTAAGGATTATTTTGCCAACAACCTAATCTTGCAGAAGAGGAGGTTTTCTGAAGAAATGCTGATGCCACTCCAGAGTTTGAAAATAAACGGAGGAAAAGACTGCAAGCAGACCCAACGCTGTGAGTGCACCCCCTCCGAAAATCCAAGAGGCCTTTCTCATCTGGTTAGCGAGCACATACGGCCAAGCTTCCCACTCCAGCAGAGTTCTATATAAATCAAAATGTCAGCTTCAGGACATAACATAAAGCAGGCGCTACACTGGAGGGATGATAACTGGACTTCGCCACCGTTACTGACATAGACCAGAAAGGTAGTACAACTGTTCAAATACTTAGCTAAAAAAAAAATTAATTACACATCTGCACTTGATATTGCATCTGTCTTTTACAACAGGCTGGTTGTGGTTCATTCCTTTAGGACAGGTCTAACTAGGTTCTAAGTCCTCAATCATTCATCCATGGCTGCTTGCCAGCTCGTCCCTATTTACTTCTCCCCAGGTAAAAAAAAAAAAAAGAAAAGAATGAAAGAAAAAGGATGCTCCGAAGCAGAAAGTACCTTGCACAAGGTAAGCAGCAGATGGATAAATGGGAGAAGATGAGATCAACGTTAACAAGATCAATGTGTGCAGGTGAAAGACCTAGCAAAGACGCCCAGCACTTGGTTTGTGGGTGATTACAGCAACCCAGCAAACATTAGTTGGAGAATCCATCCATGGTCCTCAAATACAGTCAGACAAGCAAACGATCTTTCACATAAGATCAATAACTCAAAGTAACTTGTATACCATTTGCAAAGTTTAGGGAATCCATCTTTTTTTAAATAAAGCAACGAGAGCAAAATACCCAAAGAGTAAAATACTTTAACTTTAACATGTGTGGATAGTGAATGGAAGGAGCCATCTAGTAGGAGCATAAACCTATCACTTGACTAGATTTTCTTTTCTTTTCATTTCAGGCATAATTGTAAAAAAAAAAAAAAATCTTCTGAAATGGAGTAATTAAATAATTATGCGCAATAAAAACTAACCTTTACCTAAGTTGTCCAGATCACGTGCATTGGCCAACTCTTTCTGGAAAATGCTGGAAGCTTTCATTACCTCCCCAATGCAGCTGCAGCTTTTACAGTCTGTCGTCAATTCATAGCGCAGTGAAACGTGTGCGTGGATGCGTGATGAACAATAAGCGTATTAGGATCATTTAGATGGCTGGTGACTTAGTGTTTCTGCAAACCCTCTCTTCATCACCCTAAGTGCTTGTTGGGATTGTGATGTATACGTCGGAATGAAGCAGCAGTTGCCCCCAAATGAAAATGTTGTCTATTAAGCATGTGCTAAATCAACACCACTCTGTATCTGAGCATAAATGAAGACAAAACACTCCACATTATGATGCAATTAAAAACCTCCAGGATACGTTACCTGCCGCCTCGAGCACTGAAAGGCACTACATGGATTCCCAGAGGCCCTCCATCGTTGGGGACTTGAACGAGCTTTACCATATCACTGTGAGACAATGATGAATGAGGGAGCATGAACATGTACTGTCAACAAACCAAACCAAAACCAAACCAAAAGCCACAACAAACGCAGACACACAACACGCAACAGAGAAGAACAGAACAAAAATCCCACCAAGCACACACGCATACACATACACATTCTGGAATACAAGCATGAGGATGAAGCAACATCAAACACTACATACCTGAACACTAGTCTGATGGCATGGAGGGAGAGCAATCATTAGAAATAACTACATTTAAAATGACTCAGGCTGTTTCTCTTGGACCATCCTCTTGCGTGTAATGTAAGCATATTATTTTTGCAACTTAAACCCACAGATTTCCAGGAAAATGTTTCCAACCCCGAATCGATAGACAGCAAGGGTTCTTACAATTAACCGAGATGCTGTCGATACATGGCAGGTTATGACTTCTACAATACTCTCACATAATTGCCACATTATTTGATACTTCTAAGAATCTAAGGAAGTCAAAGTTGTGACCTCATAGGTGGCAGGCCAGAGGTGAGCCAGCTCTCCTCAAGGCCACTAACTACCCCATGAGAAGGCAAGTCACCTTCCCCTAAGCTCTACAACAGCGTCTCAGGACAACTCTTCCTCACCGCCAGCGGGCATTTACTGATAATCAGTTTATTTCCATAGAAGTCATTACAATTGAAATGTAAACACAAAAGGGGACATCTGCAATAGGCGGTAACATCAAACCATTTCTCGTCATACAATTAAAATAGTTAACGTAAGGGGTACAACATCCTGTAGATGTCTTTTGAGTTTTTTCATGGACTCTTTTCTAGGAATGCGATAACCTTTCATGAAAATTGGTATCATTTGAAAAATTCTTTGAACCCTTCAGGGGAAAATAAAGTGGGGAGAGAACTAAGAATCTACAAGAGAATTTTCAAAAAGTTTGGAGAAAAAATGGAATTAAAGGAAATGAACAATTGTCTACCAACTGTTTTAAACCCCCTTGTAAATGCTAATATCTAGGGTCCGCCCCTGACCTTTCACACAAATTAAGAGGGAAAAGGTGGCCTGCTTTCCCTATTGGAAGTTATCAAAGGACGAAGTCCTAAAAATACTTCCACTGAAAAATATGCCAGTATCCAAGCCAATGAGAAAATTGTGGGGAAAATGTTTGCATTTAAAAAATGCTTTTATATTAAAAACCATGTTCAAGATCCCTATGTGAGGACCTCTAACTTTTTATCAAATGCGTTAAAAAATTCTATTTTGTCAAATTTTAAAATATGCTAAAATATAACTGTTGCTTACATGAGTCAACTATTTCTTTTACAAATAAAGTATGTTTCTCTCTCTATATATATATATCTTTTATATGTGTGTGTGTGTGTGTGTGTGTGTATGTGTGTGTGTTTACCTTTCAGTGAAGCTGTACGTCAAATAACTAGAATACTGGCAAACAAGAGCAAGCCGAAAGCAGTCACAGTGTTTACAGCGCTGCTCAACATGACACACAGTTGTAATCAAATACTATTTCATAGCGTAATTTAATAGTATTTGTCAACGCATGAAACTCAAGACAGGTACATGTGGAGTTCCATGCTATCCTTTCTCCATCACGTAACTAACGCAATAGATGAAAGATGTTCTTTGGAGAAACAAACCAACACAAGGCATGTGTCTCACGACACACAAACATTCTGCATGCCATATGCCTTTGGAATACTTGCTGCTATCAGTGATGCTGCGTAGAGACCACAAATCCAGTGAAGCCAGCAGTAACTTACTCCAGAGAAAAGCTGGGCATATTCTCCAAGCCAGTGTCCGCATGTCCAACTGGTTCCACCCTGCTATTGTCTTCTTCTGCCCCATCCTCATCCTGCAGAGAGAAGCACATGGTGAGTCAGGCTTACTTCTAGAATGCTAAAGAGAAAGAGCTGAAACTAGAGCCTTGTAAGCATTACCATCATGTTAACTAGGCCTTTCAACTAGGTAAGATGACCTTTAAAGGTGTGTGTAGTGGGGGGGGGCGGTTTGTGCATTTGGAGAAACCTCCTGAGGTACCATAGGCAAGGATGAGAACAAGACACCCTGGGATAAGAAAAAATAAAATAATTTTTAATTAGAACTTCTACTGATGTCAGTTTATCACATTTCAATTTAATATTTGATACTGGTGTATAAAATAATTATATATTACTACAAAGTGATGTTCTCAAATAATTGTAAGTGAAATTAGAGTTATGGGTTTCAAAACTCTTTAATGATTTAGATCCAGCATCAAAGCAATTGAGACTATTAGAAATTTTCACATTTACCAGTATCTTCAAAACCCTTTCACTTTCTTGGTTCTTAAGACTCAAAGCTTATTAAAACAGCCATGCCCTGGGTAAATCCCACCCTAAAACCCCTCATTCTATGAAGCTGCACCTAGCACGGAGGCATTCACAGACCCCCCATGCATGGCAGAGGACAGCGGGTCCATTGGGTTTGCAAAGCTGCCAGCTTCCAAGAGCAAATCACCAAGACTTCCTTCCAAGGAGCCCCGGGAGTGGCCTTTAGTCACCAACTCTACAATTTATGGTCGAACACTTTTTTATGGTAACACCCAGGGAACCATGAGTTGGCATCACCTTAAAAATCTTGAGTTTATTTGTTTGGGTTCATAACCAAAAAACCAAACTCACCGTCATCAATTCAATTCCGACTCACAGAGACCCTACTGGACAGGGTGGAACTGCCCCTGTGTGGTTCTGTGACCGTAGCTCTTCAATGTATTAGAGAGCCTTAAGGAATCAATTCCATTTCTTTTGGTTTGCACAAGATTAAGTACCGGAAATGTCGCAAAGAGATGGATGCATGATCACATCCGTCTTACATTGTTCCTTTTTCAAAGGTGCATACTTCATTAAAAATAAGTTTCAACGTGCTACCAAAATCAGCCAAGGATGCTGGTATTCCAAAGTAAGCATGCGGCACACATGTGGTAGCTCAGGAAAGTACAGAAATGCCACAGAAGAACAGCCCCTTCTTTATAGTCCTGGCTACAGCTTTTTGACCCAAGGGTTCACTAGTCCTTGGGTTGGCATTTGAAAATTGTGAATAATAACAAACACGCCTGACTAGTCTCAATGATTTTTATGAATCCAGTCAGAATACTGAAAAAGATTTCAAATCTCCAAACGCAATGGCCAAGAGCCCCAGGTGGCCTTCACCCAGCACCATAAATAACTTTTGCCAATGAGAACAAGGTCATTGCACGGAACGCTGTGAGAATGAGATCTGCAAAGCAACTACAGAAGATTCATTTAAGCAGGTTCTTGCTAAATATACGTATACGTTTACATGTCATTCATTAACACTGTCATTCTTGCGATATCAATCTGCTAGCTGGTATTACACAGGAACTTATTAAACCACCTATATTAGGAAAGGGAGTCCATAAAATGTGAGCGAACCTCTCTATATTTTTAATCATGCCTGAGAGATCTGCCAAAAGTCATGAATATGCTGTCAACAGAGGCATCAGTCAACACACTACAAGCAAAGGCTGGGGACACAGTATCAGACAATGCATTAGATTACTGAAGAGATAGTAAGGCAAGGCCGAGCTGTTGGCAATGCCCAATGGACATTTCCTCTGAGAATCTACCAGAAGCAGTAGCCGACTGCCCCCAGCTTACTCTGAGTGGTAGAAGCTCGCCCTGCGCCCTGCATCCTGGATAGCTGTGCACACATGAAGCCGGGCTCCTTGAAGATTGATGATCCTATGTTTTGAGAGGCTCTAATATGCACTTCTTAGTCATCTATCTCTCTTAAGCGCCCGTGCGTAATACATCTCAGAGGTTAACCAGCATTTTGAACCTGCGGGAGAACTGCATTGTGAATGTAAACAAGTGCTCCCCAAATGATGTTTTTCCACAGGGAGTGGGGGGCTGGGCAGCAAGCCAAAAAAAAAAAAAAAGCCACTGTTTATAAGTCAGATGCACCACATCAAAACAGTCTTACACGTGAAAGACATTTTGGTTCAGATTGCATTAATAATTTAGGCGCCAGGAAAACGCCACCAAGATGTATGACCATTGGAAGCATTTTGTTGCACTAGGAAATAGCCACATAAATGAAATGCCCCACACAACAGCGATAAAACAGGAACTGATCGTTCACACATTCACTGTTCCCACAGTGGCCGTGATTGGCCCTCTAACAGCATACAGAATATCACTGGATGGGGCTGCAAATGCTATTCAGTTTGGACTACAACATTCCCGACCCCCCAGGCTGTGCTGCTGTGGGAACCACAACTTAGAATTTCCCAACTTCTGGATGTGTAAATATCAGCTTCTAGATTGCATTATTCTGTTGTCTGGTACTTGTTTTTCAAAGCTGTCATTGAACCTAAACATGAACTTTACATTGAGTGCCATTCTAACCATCCTAAACTTAAAACCGCAACAAACTAAGCTCAATTATATATTTCAAATCAAGCAATACAAGGCGACTGGGGTGACGCTGTGGGATAGGCACTAGACAGCAAACGTAAAGGTTGGGGTTCAAGCCCACTGGTGGTCTGGAGAGAAAGAGGAGCTTGTCTGGTTCCACAAAGGTTGGCAGTCTCATAAACCTTATATAGTGTAGCTATGAATTCGCATCAGTGACAATGGGTTTGAGTTGTAACTCTGCAAGCGATTGTTCCTGTATTACCGGTGGGCAGGGAACATGTTTTGGTTTGGGTTTTTGTCCCCTGCCCTGATCCCCTCAATTTTCCAACAGAGCAACAGTAGTCCAGACTAGAGTTGAACAGCAACCCCATGCTCTTTTAACTTTCCCGCTTTAGCCAAGTTATGTATCCTTAATATATTTCTGGCCTTTCTGCGGCAATTATGTGGACAATAAACTAACTCCAAAAAAAAAAAAAAAAAAAGGACATGGGCGGAAGGGCGGGGAACAGGGCACTAACCTATCCATAGGGAGGGTATTCTTTATCGCTCCACAAGAAATGGAGAGAGGGACCAGACCTCAACCTGGTACAACAAGTTTTGAAGGCAACATGTAGGCATGAAGCAGCGAATTGACAGAGGTCTACAGGGCCAGCCCCAATTCCAGCTAACGCACTACAGAAGACAACACTGAAGATACACCTCAGGGAGAGGGGCGGGTCTGCTCAGAACACACTGGAGCAAACTAAGAGGGAAGGAGAGAGAGAGAGAGAGAGAGAGAGAGAGAGAGAGAGAGGATTACATCCTGGCCTACCAAGCCCCAAGGACAATATTCCTGCGTGGAGCACCAACTGCACAGAGAGGACTGTAAGGTCAGTCTCATCACAAGACACGCATCCCTTCATTGACCCACAGTGCTATGGGGGACAACACCATGTTTGGGCCAGGTCCGGGCCATGCAGCCGCCTCCCCCAGATCTCCCAAAAGATAGCCAGGTGGATTGTGCGGCCCCTTCCCCCACCTCTCAATGCCAGAGCTGGACTGTGCAGTCCCTGCCTCCAGCATTCCAAGGAGCTTATCTCTATAGGCCGGGTCTGTACAGCCCCTTCCCTCAGTGTTCAGGGATGATTTACTCACAGACCACATCCTGACTCAGCCCCGGCCACTGCAGCACCAGAAGGCCTTCCTTCCCCTTATCAGTACATCCGTCCTGGGCTCAAGCCCTATATATGTCCCACTGCCTCACTGCCAGGCCTGATTTCCCTGACCTAACTCATTGGGTCTTGGAGCCCACCCAGGAGCTCAAGATGGCCCCGTCTCTATCTCTGCTCTCCCGTCCCTCCCAGAAGTTCTTTCCCTGCCTCAATAAAATCTTTATCAACTTCACATCCCTGACTAAATTCTACGTTTGTTCTGTGCCTCCGTCTCCAACCTCTCACACCAGAGACACAGTGTGGGAATTGTGCTCAGTCTTACCAACAACACAAAACACAAAAGGACTGCAACAGAGCAGCAAGGGGAGCAAACCAATGAAGTCCCCGAAGAATGCCAAAAATAGACTTCAGGGACAAGGCTTGGCACTTCATCAGACTTGATCGGAAAACACTCATAGAGGTCAACAGACAGACCTGGAACTATTTATAGGTGGTTTTTTGTTTGTTTGTTTCAAATCTATCTATGTCAGACGGGCAAGATAAACAATCCTAAGGAGAAAACAATGGGACCAACGATTCTGGGGGTGGGGGTGGAGGAGACATGTGGGGGGGGGGTGGCGGTAAGGAAGCAGGGAGACAACAAACTCAGGGACAAAGGAACAACAAGTGATCAAAAAGCAATGGCAAGGAGGGCATAGAATGCCTGGTGGGGTTCGATCAAGTGTAATGTAGCCAAGAGGAATTACTGAAAGCCGAATGAAGGTCGAACATGATAATGGGACAAGAGGACAGCAAGAAAAAATAGAGAAAAGAACTAGGAGGCAAAGGATATTTATAGAGGTATAAGTACAGGCACGTACATATGTAAAGATATATGTTAAGTATTAAGGTAGCAGATGGACATTGGGCTTCTACTCAAGTACTCCCTCAATGCAAGAACACTTTGTTGATATAACTCGGCATTCTGCTATGCTCACCTTCCCAACATGATCACTGAAGACAAAATGGGTACATGAGCAAATGTAGCGCAGAAAGCTGATGATGCCCAGCTATCAAATGATATAGCATCTGGGGTCTTAAAGGCTTGAAGATAAACGAGCAGCCATCTAATTGGGAAGCAACAAAGCCCACATGGAAGAACACCAGCCTGTCTGATCATGAGGTATCAGCATGACCAGATATCTGGGAATCAGAAGACCCAAAACAAACAATTATAATGATGGAAATGAGGGGAGTTGGCGTGGAAACCTAACGCCCATCTGTAGACAATGGGACATCCCCTCAGA